ATTTTAAACTTACCCTCTCTTTCACCCACAACGGGTGGGGGTGGGGGGTCATGTTAGATGTCAAAAGATAGCTTTTTTGAAAACATTGAATACGTATATTTTCAGATTTCTGATCTGATTTCTCGAGATATTCGACCGTTTCCACACTTTTCGGACACCCTGTATATATATATATATATATATATAATATACTGTGTATATTGTTATCATCATATTGTTATAATAATTACAATAATTGCATTTTTTATTATACAAAATCTCATAAAAAAGTAGTATGTATTGATGGTTTAGGTTTAAGTAAAAAGAAAAAAAGAAAATTTATAAAATAAAAAATAAGCTGAAAAGTAGACATCCCCTCATAATCGTCCGTCGATAAAAATATTTCATGACCGACCTACAATGAATTGTTTTACGCTCGATGTTGGCGACACTGTACTTTGACAGATTAGGCGATTAGGGCCATTAGGGGTTATACCGGTTATACGCAGCTATCATCCGGTACGTAAACAAAATTGTTTATGTGGTAACGGCCGGAAAGCAACGTATGCGTAAAACGAAAATTATGCGGTAAAGAGACATCAATCGTACGTTCCGAAACCGGTGCTTTTTTCCGAAATGTAAATTATAAATGTAGCAGAGTGACAATATACCGTTGTTGTCTCAGGAAAATGAAAGTGACAACGTTGAAGGGCATTTTTCCAGACCCTAGTGAGTAATATTACGTATCTTTAATCCAACAATTGTTTAAAAGCTCGAAAGAATAGATTTTATTTCATAACATATGAATAAAATGCTTGAGATAGAAAAAAATAGTTGAATAAATTTAGGTGCACGAGAAATAATTTGTAATGTTGAATATTTTGTTTGTTGCTATTAGAACCAGTCAAAAGGAAGAATTTTATTCAAGAAAATGTGAAAAACCTTCGGCGAATGGAACAGTGCTTCCAAGCGAATAAAGAGCTAGAAGAACTAGAAAAGTTACAATTACACAAGCATCACAGGAATACAGACAAGTACCAGAATGTATCTGCGAAGGTGGTCACTACCTTCCGGGACAAGAAGAAACATGAGAGCTATTTTAATATTGAGCGAGTGTCAAATGACAAAATGGGAATTGATGAACAAGCTCAGAATAGGACCAATGTATTCGAGTACGATAAAAAACATGCTGTTTCTACTACCAAAAAGGTTATTGGACCAAGAATGAATAATAACATGTCGAGCAAACAAAAGAGAACTGATAAACATAACAGTCAGCAGAGATTGCAACCAAAGGTTTTGTCTAAACCAAATGTATTACATAAATCTGACAGCGCTGCAAATGGTTTGGAATTTTTGGATGTACAAAGCACTGTTAAGTACAAAAGTCAGGGGATTCAGACTTTAGATACAGATGAATTGGAAAGTATATACTCTGAAGGTGTTATTCGGTAAGTGGATTTGAAACCTATTATATAAAATTCAATCCTAAACAAATTGACAATATATAATATTATATTAGAATAGAATTAATTAAAGAAAGAAACACTGTCTTGGAAACATATATATTACAATTTTCAATACATTTAATTCATTTTATTTGTAATTGACATTTACTTTTTACTTTAAATAATTTTTAATTGATTAATTTTCTAATTTAATTACTAATTTATTAATGTTAATAAAAGAATTAATAATGTTAGCAAGCGAGATTTTATCTAGAGACCGTTTTTCTGATTTTTCAACAGATATCCATCAAAGAAGGTTACAAAGCACGAAATAGCAAACAATGGTGATTTAAATAAACAAGAAGAGAAAAATTCGAGGAAACAATCTGATTCGCCTGCAGACAGAGGTGATATGCATGATCCGGAAGACTTACAGAAAGCTGATTTACGAAATTCCATGTCGCCGGCATCTAAAGAGGAAGTCGATTTTATCAAATTAAATAAAGAACGTACCTCTGTTGCCAATAAACTGATGACACAACTTAACAATGGTGTACCACCTCCGAATTATCGCAAGGGAGTTTTACCTAAGTACGATATTGCGACTATTTTTCTTCTCTAATTTTCCTCGACGTTAAATTAAGCTTGTGTTCGGTTTAGACGCTCACACACTGTAAATTTCATTTTATCTTTCTTTCACATATAAAGAGCAATAAAGATGTAATGACAGCGTCTAAATCAAATGCAGCCTGATTTATTTCTTTGTATTAACTTTTCTATTCTTCAATTAATTTTTTTACATTGTAGTATACATTTTCTTAAAATATTTTACTTAGATATATTATGAAACTGAAAAATCTCTCTTCAGATTTTCTTATATACATAAATGCGATAATAAGAAAAATTAATAAAATGTAGTAAATATACAGTGCAATGTAAATAATGGAAAATTACATATTTGTAAAATATGTAATTTAGAAAAAAGAAAAATAAGTTAATTTCAATTTCTGATTTAATGTTTACATCATAATCAAATTACAATTAATTTGATTATGATGTAAACATTAAATTAGAAATTGAAATTAACTTATTTTTCTTTTTTCTAATAATTTTTTTAAATAGATATCTTCGAGATAGAAAGGAAGCACAAGAAAAGGAACAAAAGGCTAAAGCGGAAGCACTGCATTCTGATTGTCCGGAGGGTCACGTGCCTTTACCTGATCACGAACGCAAGGAGACGTTACGATTATTAAAAAAAAGTGCGTATTTGTGATATAATAAAATTTATACAACAGTCATAAATTATTTGCTTTAAATATCAATATTTAATCATTCAAATTCACTGGATTGTTTTTGGAATGCAGATTATCAGGAGTACGTCAATGAATTAAATATGATGCCTATAAAAACGGATACTCTTAGAGCACAAAGACGCAAGATCGAGATAGAGAAGCAATTGAATAAACTGGAAGAGGGGATAAAAGTATTTTCGCGTCCAAAAGTTTACGTGAAGATAAATGCATAATCGCGTTACTTCGACTAAAACACAATATGTATGTATAGAAATGTTGAGTGTCCGTCCATATCTCAATTCAAAATCATATATTATTTGAGAATCCAGTGACAAACGTCATCGTATTTTGTGGCAAAATGGAGAATTAGTTGTATATGTTTCTCATCTAATTAGTCAATTTTATACATATATACATATATATACATATATATATATACATATATATATAAATATATATATACATGAAAGATTGACTAGCTCGATCAATTGACGTCTAGCATTAAAAAAATTCTACAAACCCAGAGAAAAATACATTGAACTATTTTCATACAAGCACAGTCTGAATTTTGCTAGCAATTGTGTAGATAGGAATATATCACTTATTAAAAATATAATAAATATTTTATTTAATATGTTAATGTTGTACATTATTGTTTTGTGTCTTGTTCAAGTCTTGTCAATGGTGTGCACAAAGGACAATGGATCAAAATGTAATCTTCCCAAGTTATAAAATATCTCCTCATTGTTATACCACTTGTTTATGTTAAAGTCTTTAAAGAATATCATTATTTCCCTTTTTGCGGATTCAGTCGAATCTAGAGTGAATAACATTAGTGTCTCTTTTTTTTTTCAATATAAGGTTTTGCATTCCGTTGGAATGTATGATATTATAACTGATTACCAGATCCGTGCGTGGCATTTCTAGTATCCGAGAGGCCAAACATTCCTCTGATAGTATCTTGTGCATTATATTGCGCTTGATAGACTTTTGTAGGGCCCATCAGTTGACGCCACTTCGTGATAGCGTCGTGACGCGCCAAAATGTAAATGTCGGACGGACCGCTGCACATGAAAGTCAAGAGACGATTGTAGAAGAATTTGTCCCTGTGTTCCTTGTAAAATAATTCGGCCTCCTCGCGAGATATCGTCGTTCTGCGCGATCTGACAACTTTGAAATTATTGTCAATTATTAAATCGCGAATTTTCTGAAAAATCAGTGCGAACTTTAGTCATTAAATTTTCCAAATCTCATTCCCTCGACGTTACTCGCGGAATTGTATCGTTCCTTCAGTTATCCTTCGGAGCCTAACCTACATTCTCACTCAGTGAAAGTGAGGTTAGATTCATACCTGAAGAACGAACGGGGATTTAACGACGTGCGGCTTAAGTATCGCCAGTGTCAACTGGAGATAATTTGTTGACTGCATATCAACATCCTCTGGCTCATTTACGAATTAAAGAAGCTACGTGGCATATCGACAGTTACCGCTCGTACGTCAGACATGGGAACGCAAACATCACCACGTGTATCTCACTGTTCACCGGTTTCACGGCTTCGCGCGTCGCGCTCATTCATAATCGGAGTTATCGGAGCGGAGATGCCCGATTGTCTGACTGCAGCGATGACTTCTACTACTAATTTTCACACAAATATCGATCTTTTTTTATAATATTCACATTTGTACAAGCTAATATTTGTACATTTTTTGGATACTCTATACTATAATAAAAATGATAAATTTCTTTTGCAAAATACAGCATATTTATTAATTCATTTTATTCAGTCCACTTATTAAAAAAATAGGTCTTCAGCTCTTTCAGTAATTCTCGATTGTCACTGATAATTTGTATTGCAAATCGAATCATTTATTGCCATATATCGTCCCATACTATTAATTTTTTTTATAACTCAGAAAGAACATAAAATCATAATAAAGATCAAGTTGACATCAATTAAGTAGAATTCATTTTAGGAAAAATTATAATGATATCATTCGTTTTGACGATGATTTTATGCGAAGTCAAGAATTCATCACAAAGTCATTACCAAAAGTGTAAGCAAATGACATCATTCTAATTGTTCCTAAAATGACTTCTATTTGATATATTATCTTGATCTTATTATGATTTTATGATCTTCCAGGGAACTCGAATATCGTACAGTTATACATATTAACTATCTACGATATTGACGAAGATTTATTGAACTCTCATTCAAAATTATATTCTATTCTTTTTGTTGCATCTGTAAATTTGAATTATTGTTACTAAAATAAACTTAGTATTCATTTTTTTTAGAGTTATGTCATTTCAGTTCCTTGAAATTAATTAGTGTCTTTTAGTTAACATAATTAAATTAAATAAGCCGCATAGGCCAACGTTAATAATTATGTTTGCAGATTTTGACGTCAACTTTATGTGTGTGTCCTAAATGATTATGTATAGTTTGTCAAGTCTTTCTTATTATTAATTGGATCAATCGTAAATTTCAGGTACGCGAAGCAAAAGCTAAGATAAAACATTGAACTAAGGAAACGTGGATTACAAATCTATCTATGACTATTTGATAGCCTTGAGATATCTCTGCGTATCATCGTACCTAGACGTCGTTGACTCGATGAAGACACTGAGGCGACTGGAAGAAATACACGGATACGCAAATACGTACATTTGGGTGCGCTCGCGCAAGTAAAACGAAGTAAAGCGGAAAGAAGCGAGAGATCATAAAGTAAGTAGAATGGGAAACAATACGCGATGCCACCGAGTTGCTAGTAGTAGAAGCCAACCAGCTACTATTTCCTCTTCCCCGGTCTTCTCGCACCCCTCGCAACCCTTCAACCCGTCAGATGTATCCGCAATGGTCGATCCTGCCTCCCTTTCTCTCCTGCTGCTCATCCCGTTGCTACACGCTTCTCCGCCCCGCTTGCGTCTTCCTGTCTCTTTCTCTCCTTTCCGTTCACTGGTATCCTCGGTGATACCAGGAGAGAGCCATTCGAAGTACAATGGTTGGCTATAAATTACCCCTGGAAACGCTAGCATTAGACCCTGCCGGATTCTCCCTTTATACAAAGCCGCCGCTCGCGAGAGAGAGAGAGAGAGAGAGAGAGAGAGAGAGAGAAAGCTTAATTGAGCGACCTCGATATAGAAATCGCGATACGAATCACAGACTATTCAAATCGTGTTCTCGAGAGTTTCGTATTTCATTTGAGACTAGTGTCAGTGTCACTCTTTCCTCTCTTCAGCCAATTTCTGCATTTTCAAACAATTTGAATGTAACGTACTTAATCGTGGAAAGAAAAACCGCTTGGTTGGAAGAAAATGAAAAGCACGTCATAAAAATTCAATCGAGTTTGTAAATTACATACTTTTGTATCAATGTATACGGTTTAGAAAAGAAAAAAATATCGTTCCAGAAAAGATATAATAAAAATTTGTATATCTTGTTACAGAAATAATTAAATTATGACATGTAGAATATTTTAAAACAAAAATTATTAACGATTTTATTAATCAATGATAAAGATACGATTTTTTTTTATATAAGTATTTCATAAAATTAGATAGAAATTTATATTGCATTTTTTTAAATCTTTTATTTGATGCTTGTTCGCTTTTCCAATCTTCATGGAATTTTTCAGTTTGATTCTACATATAACAATTCAATTAGATTTTACAAATTTTAAGATGAAAATAATAAAAGAAGAAAACTTGGGATTTTTAAGTCTTTCTCAGTGGATTCCAAATAATTTGATTCTTTTTATTTTACAATACGGGCGCTATGTTCTATCCATCGGAAAAAATCTCACGCCTTTCGGATTGATTTATTGCAACTAATTCCTGCCTGAATGGTAATCGCGTATTGCGCCCACTCCGCGGTTGGTCGTTAAATTCACGCGCACATGTGCACGTATTTAACACACACAGGCAGCGAATGTAACGAGAACGACTGAGCGAGTGACAAATTACGAATAAAATATTGATTCGCCCGCTGCACCGCCGGTTTGTCAGCGCGAGCGTTACGCCGAATTAATGTACCAGCGTATATAATTGCACTACCGTTCGTATTAATTACCCGTTCGTAAGCTGCGTCAATCTCGAATTGCAGTAACAGCGACCGTACCTCGATTATTCTAACAAACTATATTCGCGAGAGCAATCCTCGATCGTTATATCCTCTTTTCCCCAAAAAGCATATCGATTCCATTAAAATTCACTGTTTACCAGCAAATATCAAACAAGCAGTAAGATGATGGTTTTTGGAGGCAATTATATTTAGTAAAACTTTAATCGTGCCATTGGTATATAACTAATAATATCTTTAATAATTTAATTTATTAATTTTTAAGTTTCGGTATTTCAAAAGGCTTATTTTGTTCAATATATTTACAATAAAAAAAAAAACATGTAATACAAGAAAACATTATGTCGAGATTATTTTTGACATTTAAAAAATCTTTTTTGAAAATTTTGAGATGAAAAGAATAAATTTGATTAAATTTCTAAAAAACAACAAAAATAAATATGTCATACAGTTTAAATATTATTTTTAAACCTTATAGGGAGAAGAAAAAGGTTCACGTTTAAAATAACCGTTCCAATACAAATCTTACAATTAGATGCAAATTTGCAAATGGAATCTGAAAAGAGCCCTACGAGCTCAAATAAATCGTTCATCACGTTATCGCTGCGGTTATCGCTGATATATCGCCAGATTATCCAGCTCGTTGAACGTCCAGCTATGGTGGCGAATGGACGATTCATTGAATAAAAAAATACAAATGAGATAGCAGAAAGTTTCAAATCGAATTCCGGTGGAAGTTTTACGAGCGGATTGTCTGTAAAAACGACGAATCGTGTTTCGTGTTTTCCTAACCCCTTTCTCTTGCCTAGACCAATTCTGGGCCGCTTCAGTATCTTCTCTTTCTCTCTTTCTTTTCAGCTTTCTCTTATTGTCGACTCCTTTTCTGCGGTAACACAACACAAACGACAACAAACGACTTCTTTCGGCCCCTCGGAAAAACAGCTTTAATCGCCTCTACTCTGCGCGGTTTGGCGCTTGTTACCGAAAAGTGGGACTTTTCGAAGGAAAAAAGCGAAGAGCATGGTAGAATAAAACGCAACGAATGGTCAGACGAGTGAAATGAATACAGGAGATAAGTATGAAATCGATGAAATATAAAAGCTTGAAGAAAAAAGTCGAAGGGTATAAGTGATAACAGCGATAAAAAAATCTATTCAAAGCCTAGATAGTTTAAATAGATCTGTAAAGAATTCATTTCATGTAAATTGCGCTTCTCTTAACTTTAAATACTATCTAGATCTTTGGAAATATTTTTTACTCCTTTCAATAAAAACGAAGAATCATAGAGTTTGTTTTTACATTAAATATGCACACAAATATTTATTACGTTGAAGAAAGCGTTCGAGGAGTCAAAAGTTAAAAGGAAGATTTTAAGGAAGTTTATTCGCTATAGACGAATCTCCTCCAACTTTAGCTGCAAACTTTCGCCGGAATGTTTTCTCGCAGCTGCGAGGAATCGTTCTCGAAGCGTTTTTGAATAGTTTGGCGAATTACTGGCAATCAGGATGGAATTATTTTTTTATTGAAACTTCGAACGCGCGCCGAAGCATACATAATTTTAAAAATACATAGTATAACCATATAAAGTAATAAAAAACCTATCAGAAGACTAAACTCAAAATAATAATTCAGAAAACAATAAAATCACATAAATATAATTTTATAATACGAAAATCATACATTTCATCATATATTTCAATATTATACATATGTATATGTATATACATAGTTTCAATATTAAGATATTGTATACACACGGTACTCTTTCATAATAATTTGCATAAAAATTATGATATGTATGTTATGTCGGAGACAAGAAGCATGAAAAATATTTCACTATTCTTAAGATTTTATTTTATTTTTAATTCGTAAATGTAAAGAATAGTTTTAATCATTGAAATTTTTTAATAATACTTAATAACGTTTATTTACCAAATTATTTATATATTCCCGTATAAATATACACAATATATTTATATAAAATTATATTAATTTTTAAAAAATCTCATTAAAATTATTATTCTCTCTCTCTCTCTCTCTCTCTATTTTTTTAATATTATTTTTTTAATTTTAATAAATTTTTATTCAAACATATTATACTTTATATATAAAAAGGATTTTTTCAACTATAAAAATAGTCTTTTTCAGATTTATAAATTAGATAATTTCATCACATATTATCGCACCTTTTCGTGAACACTTAATTTCAGTGGTTAATATTAGTGGTAAGCATTACAGCTTCTCTCAACGGGGTGCTAAGTTACGCCAGCTGTCGTAAGGAGGGTGTGGAAATCGAGGGCGATGAGCGAACCGGGGAAACTTAATTCGCCACCGACACGCCGCTAAATCTGAACGACTCAGACCGGATTCACCGAAGATTTCGTCCTTTCTCGAATTCTCGCTCACGGAGGGCGCATCTCCGGCTTGAGAACGTCACTTACTCATTCCCTCCCTTTGAGGTCACTTTACTCCAACCCTCTCCATCGTTCATTAGCACTCTCCACGTTTCCTACAGCTCTTACTCTTATACCTTCGGAAATGCAGCCAATTCAAATGATCTATCTTATTTCTATAGTCCTTTATATCTAGCAGTAAGAATTGTTAAATTCTTC